TTTTTGCCTTTTGTTTCTTGGTGGCTGGAGTTGGCTGCAGGGCCCTACCGATGCATGTGTGTTCCACCTCTGAGGAGCTCGCCAAGGCCTCCCAGAGCAGCTCTTGATCAAAGCATTATGTACTACTGCAAGAGTCAAATTCCGTCCAATTCCAAACCCAAGGACCCCAGAACTCTTCATTTACCTCATATAATATATACATATAAATAACTGAACATTTTTAGAAAAGCTACAAGAATAAGGGAGTAAACAGGACAGCAACAAACCTTTGCACAGATTTACTTCTTGGTTCTTTGTGGAACTCCCTGGGCCTTGAACATGCTGTGCTCAACCGCTGCCCACACTGCAGCCCCAGATTGGTTTATTCTTAACATTTTGACACACATATTTCATTATCAGTTAGCTATCTATCTGTATTTTCTGAATCATTTGTCAGTAAATTTGTCCCTTTACCTCTGAATGCTTTAGTTATATTTTCTAAGCATTGGGATTTTCTCTTTTATGATGTCTTAGTCAGTGTTCTACTGCTGTGAAGAGACCCCATGACCACAGCAACTCCTCTAAGTCAAGTGTTTAATTGGGGCTGGCTTACAGTTTGAGAAGTTGGTCTGTTATCATCATGGCGGGGAGCATGGTGACAGGCATGGCAGCATGGTGCTGGAAAAATGATTGATAGCTACATCCTGATCTGTTGGAGGGGAGGAGAGGAGAGGAGAGGAGAGGAGAGGAGAGGACAGGGGAGGGGAGGGGAGGGGGAGGGAGGAGGGGGAAAGGAGAGAAGAGGGGAGGAGAGGAGAGAGAGAGGCTGGGCTTTTGAAACTTCCAAACTCACCCCCAGTGATACACTTCCTTCAACAAGGCCACACCCACTCCAACAAGGCCACATCTCCTAATCTCTTCTCAAATAGTGCCTGTCAGAGTGTTTTGTGTTGAATGGGTTGGTTGAAGAAAAAAGTCTCTCCAAGCCGGGCAGTGGTGGCTCACGCCTTTAATCCCAGCACTCGGGAGGCAGAGCCAGGCAGATCTCTGTGAGTTTGAGGTCAGCCTGGTCTACAGAGCGAGATCCAGGACAGGCACCAAAACTACACAGAGAAACCCTGTCTCAAAAAAAAAAAAAAAGTCTCTCCAAGATGAATTTTAAGGCCCATGTGGCAGCAGGAAGGTCAAAGCTCTGATAAACTGAACCCTGAACAGCTCTACAAAGGTATGTTTATTGTTTGTTACACAAAGTTGTTTTTGGGGTAAAGTATTTCCTCATATCAAGGTCCTATCTAATCTATATGTTTCTCTAAAGGAAAACATCACATGCCCTCATGACGTTAGTCCATTATTGTATGTAGTTTGTAACACACAATAAGCCAAGAGCCTCAGGTGTGCCAGAGGCATCTTGTGACCAACATCGTGCAAAGACTGCAACGCCCCTTCAGAAAAACAATTCTGGAAATCACTGTTTTCCACAAAGATTCTTTACTGTTTTCCACAATGATTTGTCAAGGTCAAAATACTTCTAGAAAACAACTATTCACTCAATGTCTACCCCAGAGATGGCAACTCTGCTAAATTCCTACAAGAGTCACTCCCCAATGACTAAGCATTCAAATGTATGAGCCTTAGGGAGCCTTTCTTATTCAAACCACCACAGTAACCACAGTGTGGCTGTCTGTCTCCATGACTTGAAAGCTGAGGCCGCACTTTCACCTGATTGTGTAGATACCAATTTTCCAGCTGACTTAGTTTATTTTATTGCACTTTTCCTTCCACCACAAGACCTACCCTAGGGTGAAGTAATGCACTAGTGTATCCTGTCTCTGGAATCCTTTAATCGAGAGCAGTCCCATAGCCTTCCTACGCTATTTATTATAGTGATCCTTTGTCAGAAAGACAGATCATGTTTCTCATTTTTATATTAATCAGTTTCTCTGTCACAGCTGGGTTCCAGTTCCAATGTCAGCACTGGAACAGTGACGCTGTGGCCTCTCCATCCTCTGTTGTTACAGGCGTAGAAAGTTCACCTGTCCTTCTGCAGTACCACATAGTGGTGACCAAGCAAGGCCTAGCTCAGTTTCTCTACTACATTGTTACTATTTCCTAGTGACCGAAAGCAGTCTTACAGCACTTTCCCACTGAGTGACATTCCCAGTCAGATGCTCCAAGCCAGGCATGGTAGGACACAGCTATCCTACTATGAATTTAGGAGGGTGAGATAGGAGGACTGCAAATTTGAGGCTAGATTGGGCTACGTAGTACGTCTAAAGCCAGACTTGCTTAATATGGGTTTCATATTAAGATCCTGTCTCAACAACAAAAAGATCTTCCAGATTTCTACTGTGTCTTCCTCGAGTCCAACTCCCTTCAAAGGCTGTCCTGCAGGGCAGAGGTATTGCTGGTTTTTTATTTTACTCTTTGATACTCTGTTCTTTTCTCCTTGGGGGCCCATTACCCAGCTCCCAAATAAACTCATGGAGGAGACATATTCTTACTTATGAATGCCCAGCCTTAGCTTGACTTATTTCTAGTCAGCTTTTTTTTTTAACTTAAATTATCCCCCCTATCTTTTGCCTCTGGGCTTTTGCCTTTCTCTATTTCTGTATATCTTTTCTTTCCTTCTTATGCCGTGTCTGGCTGTGTGGCTGGGTGGCTGAACTCTTCTTTCTCGATCCTTGATCTCTTCTCTCAGATTTCTCCTTCTATTTATTCTCTCTGCCTGCCAGCCCTGCCTATCCTTTCTCCTGCCTTGCTATTGGCCATTCAGCTCTTTATTAGACCAATTGGGTGCTTTAGACAGGCAAAGTAACACAGCTTCACAGAGTTAAATAAATGCATCATAAGAGAATACAAAACATCTTTGCATCATTAAATGTTGCACAGCATAAACAAATGTAACATATCTTCAACTAATATTCTACAACATGAAGGCCTGACAGGAGAGCTTGAGGAGCTAAGAGAAGGGCCCAGAACCAGGGCCTGCAGTTTCAGGTGCCCAGGGCAGGGCACACACACTGACCACTGTCCCGCTGAGGGTGCTGCACAAGAGACCATGGAGACTCAGTCGATGACTCTTCTGCTGTGTTCTGTCTCTCTGAGGACACACAGGTTAGAAATTACCATTCCACGGGCTTTCCCGGGACAGACACACCTATACACAACACCCAGAATACATCCTTGAAAGGGATTTCATTGTGCTGTAAGTACACACAGGTGCTTAGGGAATCAGGGAGTGAGGATATGCTTATGGCTGGGAGGATTGTGGAAGGCTTCCTTGAGCTAACTTGTGGTTTTGACCTTGAAAGAGTCTAGAGAAAGATGTCTGGAGAAATTGTTACTTAGAAATGCGTGATCAAGTATGACTTTTCAACTTCATGTAGGTAGATCTAGGCCCTTGAAAAGTGCTGTGAGGAACGTAAGAGCCCCGAGGAGCGAATCATAACACTTTTCTGCTTGATGCCCTGCTTAGGAGGCACTGAATGATGCCATCTAATTCTTATTTCCAGACACGGATGAAACATGCCCATCCTTCACCAGACTGAGCTTCCACAGTGCAGTGGTTGGTACAGGATTAAATGTGAGACTGATGCTCTACACACAGAGAAATCAGATCTGTGCACAACTCATCAACTCCACAGCTCTGGGGAGCTTAAATGTGACTAAGAAAACCACCTTCATTATCCATGGCTTCCGGCCAACAGGCTCCCCTCCAGTTTGGATGGAAGAGTTGGTACAGAGTTTGCTCAATGTACAAGAGATGAACGTGGTGGTTGTTGATTGGAATCGAGGAGCGACAACTGTGATATACACCCACGCCTCAGGCAAGACCAGAAAAGTAGCTTTTATTTTGAAGGAATTTATCGACGAGATGTTGGTAAGACAAACTCCTCTTAGATGCCCCTGGCTGCTTGTTTGGAAGCTTAAAGCCAAAAGGCATCTCCTAGTTAGATGGTGGGTTGTTTTTTATTCAGACATTGTGCAAGTCTGAATAAACCCAGGGAAGAGGGTATGGCTGCGCAGATTGTCCACTTCACAAGGAAGGGGTACAGGGCAATGTCCATGTAAATGCTGTAGATTTTATGTCCTCACAATCTTCTGTAGATGATGACCAAAGGTCTCGTGACAGGAGCAGCATCTTGCAGCTACTGTGAAGGTGTCTTTGAGTAGGAGAGGCTCTGCCCAGAGTTCTTGGTTTAAATGCCTGGACCTCCTTCGACCAGAGACTAATGTCCAGATTACTCCAAACCACAATGAAAACACATGGTCCAATGACACAGTCAATGTTGTTAGAAGGCCTCTCAAGGCAGGGCCTTAGCTTTTATCTAGTGAGTAATCTCATGAGCTGCCCCCATCCCCCACCCCCTCTCTTTTTTCTTTCTTTCTTTCTTCCTTCCTTCCTTCCTTTCTTTCTTTCTTTCTTTCTTTCTTTCTTTCTTTCTTTCTTTCTTTCTTTCTTTTTTAAAGACAGGGTTTCTCTGTGTAGCCCTGGCTGACCTGGAACTCACTCTGTTGTAGACCAGGCTGGCCTCGAACTCAGACATCCGCCGGCCTCTGCCTCCCAAGGATTAAAGGTGTGCACCACCACTCAGCAGAGCTGTCCTTTCTAACAATAACAAAAACATTGCGTGAAGTCAGAGCATTCAGAGAGACTCCCACACAAGGACCACTGTGGCTGGTGGTGATGAGTTGTACATGAGCTCCTCAGCAAGCAGGTAGTATTTGGGTGGCTCAGAGCCAGCTATCCAGCCTGTCATCCAGTGTGCTCTCCCTTCCCCCACTTTTCCTTCCCCTGAGATGGCGACTCCACCAAAATGCTTTATCATCCCCTCCCTGATCTGGAATCCCTAAAGATGTCCCTGCTCGAGGACCAGCAGAGTCAGGAATGGAGACACCGAGAAACACAAGTTTGGGGTTAGGCTGGTTTAAATCCTGCTCTGCACGCTGCTCAACTGCTTTACTTGGGCCAGATGACTTCAACTCTGGGCTTCAGTTCCCTCCCCTGCGAATTAAAGTAGTAGAATCAGCATTTCAGGATGCCGTAAAGGTTCCTCATTTTGTGCCAGGCTGGGGATTGAACGCTTATAACCTATGAGGCAAGCTCTCCACCACTGAGCTACTTCTCCAGCCCTCTTGTGGCATTTAAATGAGACAGTAGGGGCTAAGGAGTTGGCACAGTTGATAAATACTTGACGTGAAAATACGAAGGCCTGAGTTCAACCCCCAGAACCTACGTGAAAAATCTGGGCACAGCAGTGTGCAGTGCATATCTGTAATCCCAGACCCGGGAAAGGGAGAGAGAAGACCCTGGGCTTGCTGGCTGGTCTAAGCAAGTCAGCTAACTCCAGGTTCAGTGAGAGATCCTGTCTCAAAAAATAAGGTGGGGAGCAATTGAAGGAGATATCTAACTTAAGAGGGAAGATTTATTTATTCTTTTAAAATATATATACAGGTGTTTTGCCTGCATGTATATATGTATACCATGTGTATGCCTGGTGCCTACAGAAGTCAGAAGGAGGCATCAGAGCCCCTGGAACTGAGTTAAATACAATTGTGAGCTCCTCTTTGGGTGCTGAGAATTGAACCTGGCTCCTCTGCAAGAGCAACAAATGTTTCTTAACCACTGAAGCATCTCTCTAGCCCGACATGTGACGTTTTGACCATACGTAAGTGTATAAATGTGTATGCATACCCACCCACCCGCAAAAGAGTCAGAGTGAGACAATAGATACGAAGTACTTAAGAATTTTTTCCCAAGTAAACAGCTAGGAAAGCTCTGCAAGTGTCGGCAATTTCTTGAACTCACACAAATTATTAATGAAATTCTAGGCCAAAGGAGCTTCTCTGGACAACATTTATATGATTGGAGTGAGTCTAGGAGCACACATATCTGGATTTGTTGGAGAAATGTATGCTGGGAAGCTGGGGAGAATCACAGGTAAGGTTCCTATCGGTGACCAGGGTCTCACCTGGGCACCAGAGTTTGAAACAAGTTCTCCCAGTTAGTAAGGTCCAGATAATATTAACCTCAACCTATGACTTAATAAAATATATGTAGTGCATTTTGCAAATTGTGTATGTCACAGGAAAGTTTGGTGGTGACTTTATTTCTCTTACAGTAACCCCCTCCACCCCCCAGCAATGTCCCACGGGGATTTGATCTGTGCCCAGAGAGCCTTCTTCCTTGGGTTAATTCAGGTGGCCTGAACTATGTAACTAGAACTCACCAGGCATGGCTGCAGGCTCACAGAAGGGAAAGGAGTCGGGAATTTTGGCGGCTGGGCCTGACTGACTGTCTAAATATCAGCTTTCTGGCGACTCGGAGTGAAAACACCCCAAACTGCAGCAAGTCAAACCCTACAGGACAAAGCCTCCCTTTCTGGACCTCTTGCCTGGAGCTTAGGAATTTTCCACAGCTACTCACAGGGCTGAGGGTTGCCCCAGCTTGCAGGAATTCATCATTCACCTTTCCCAGGAATCATCCTCACGCCAGGGTTTTAAATGTAGGGGGCCTGTAGGATAGAAGTCTGTGGAAGGAGAGGAAATATAAATGACTCAAAACATGTATTTGGGGGGCAGTAACTGTTATTTATTAAGCGGCGCTGTTTACTGTGTGAGAAAAGCCATAAGGTACAACAAAACCCACTGTAAGAGTTTATTAGGGGAATAGAGAGGAGATATGCATCGGCCTGTGGAATGACCATGCAGGAGGAGAGGGAAAGAATGGGTGGAACCCACTTTTATAGGTTCCCCACTCCCAAACCCCCGCACATGCACATATGTGCTTACTAGCTACACCACGCATGCGTATAGATACGAGACCATGCAGCGCATGGATTACATAGGATGTAAGGCCCTAGGATGACTGAGCACCTTGCCTGGCTACTGGACAGAGCATGCATGGTCATGCAGCTGGGGGAGCAGCTAGGAATTCTAAAAGTAACCTCACCACCCCAATACCCACTCCCTCACCCCATTGGCTGGCATTGCTTCCCAAAGTTTGTCCTGGATGTTTGTTTGTTTTTTCCTCACTTTTCACAAAGGCCAAGGCTGCCTCAGTTATCTAACTTACACTTTCCTAGGGAAACAAAGTAGTTTTAAAAGTTCAGAAAGTATTATCACTATATTTTAAAAAATCAATGTGTCTTTACAAGAGAGAAAGAGAGAGACAGAGACTGAGACACACACACACAGAGACGGAGAGAGGGAGAGACAAAGAGACAGAGACAGAGAGAGAGACAGAGAGAGAGAGAGAGAGAGAGAGAGAGAGAGAGAGAGAGAGAGAGACAGAGAGAGAATCCTCACACTTTGAAAGGGCAGCTGGCTTGGACTGGCCGCACCCTAGGAGTCCCTTTTCTGGTAGATGGGACTGTTTCTTTCCAATGCTGGGCTGAAGTGGGGGAGGGTGGAGGGTGTCGACTTCCAGCAATTGCTGGTTTCTGTGATTTCCTTTGTAGTGACTAATCCCAAGCTGCCAACTTCATATCACTGACCACAGAGCTGGGAAGAACTGGGCCAAGTCTACCCTTTGGCCAAGTGTTTTGTTCTACCCACATGCCGTGTTCCCTCGGTGCCTCTTGACACTCGGTCCTCCCAACTGCTGTGAACTGCAGTGGAAATTCCCCACGCCAGGTTTTCTGCTCCTCCAGGCCCCTGTGACCTGCCTTGTGACCTGGACTCAACTTCTGGTCCACAAGTCAATTTGCAACCTCCATGATGTCCCCAGTTCTCATCACCTTTGAGCCTCAAGTGTAGTCCCATCTGTCTCAGGGGAAATCTCTGTCCCAGTATCCTTCCTTGATTGACTGTGCTCACTGGATCACGGGGTGGGAATGTGCTCTGTCACCTAAGGACACAAGTCACTATTATTTCCTGAGACAAGGCTAGGTCGGGCCTGACCCTGCCTGGCCCTTCACCCTGTTCCCTTGGCCGTTTTCCTCCCTTGTGCTCCATTCTCCAGGCATATTTTTGGTTTGACTTCTCATTCATTCGTTCATTCATTCATTCATTCACTCATTCGTACATTCATTCATACATTTGGTACTGGGATGAATCCTGAGTCTTACGTATGCCAGGCCCAGGCTGTGCTTTGAATAACTTCCCAAGATCAGGAGTCTGTACTTTGAACCAGCAGATACAGGGGGTCTGATCAGCACCCTTTGAGAAACAATATAGCAGCCATTAGCTACATGTAGCCACTGGACACTTGAAATGCAGCCAGTGCAGAGATGGGCTGTTGGTGCAGACTATGCACTGGTTTTTGAAGGCTAAGCTTCAGAGGAAAAAATGTAACATTGATTACATTGACACAACAATTTTTAGACATACTGGGTTAAGTAAGATTCATTATTTTCGTTTTGTTTTATTTTGTTCAGTTGAGACAGGGTTTCTCTCTGCAGCCTAGGCTGGCCTAGAAACCCACTAAGCTCAGGCTAGCCTTAAGTTCATGGCAATCCTCCTGCCTCAGTCTCCTAAGTGCTGGGGTTACAAGTGTGATCTACCAAACCTGGCTGGTTTTTGTCCTGTCTATTATTTTTAATTTTTAAGTAATATTTTCTATTTTTTTTTTTTTTTTTTTTGGTTTTTCGAGACAGGGTTTCTCTGTGTAGCTTTGTGCCTGTCCTGGAACTCACTTGGTAGCCCAGGCTGGCCTCGAACTCACAGAGATCCGCCTGGCTCTGCCTCCCAAGTGCTGGGATTAAAGGCGTGCGCCACCACCGCCCGGCCCAATATTTTCTATTTTATAGCTAAAATAATCAAATGTTTAATTTATTATTGTATTTAATATTTAACTAAAATATTAACTGGTTTTAATTATAAACATATAGAATATTTTTTTATTTTCTATATATTATGTTTGTGTATATGTGTGTGTGTGTGAGTGCATGTGTGTGGGCACAGCGTGTATGTAAAAGTCAGAGGACAGTTCACAGAGTCAGATCTCCTACATTGTGTAAGTCCTGGGCTTGAACTCAGGCTGGCAGGCTGGCATGTGCCTTTACCCACTGAACCATCCAGGACACACTTTTTTTGTCTTCTTGAGAAAGGATGTGCCTCTGTAGCCCAGGCTTGTTTTGAACTCACTTGTACTCCCAAGCTAGCCTTGAATCTGAGATATTCCTGTCTTAGCTTCTTAAGTTCTCCCAGGTCTGGTTTAAAATTTAATTTTTTGTTTTGTTGTTTTTCAAGGGTTTCTCTGTGTAGCCCTGGCTGTCCTGGATCTCGCTCTGTAGACCAGGCTGTCAGCAAACTCACAGAGATCCTCCTGCCTTTGCCTCACAAGTTTGGGGTTTAAAGGCGTGCGCCACCGCACCCAACTAAAATTTAATTTTTTAATTTAATATTTTGTGTTTTGGGAATTGAATCCAGGGCATCACTGCATATAAAGTAAGCACTCTATGATCTGAGCCATGTCCCCAGCCTTGTGTTCTTTTGTTTTAAATTGTGTGTGTGTGTGTGTGTGTGTGTGTGTGTGTGTGTGTGTGTGTGTGTGTGTATGCCAGTGCCGTGTATGTGCAGGTACCAGAAGAGGGCATCAGATCCCCTGGTTGTGAACTGAACCTGGGCCAGTTTCAGAAGAGCAGCATTCTGTTGAGCTATCTCTTCAGCCCCATAGTCCTCATACTCTTTTATTTTTATGTATGAGTGTGCTGCATGTCTACCTTCATGCCAGAAGAAGACATCAGATCCTATCATAGATAGTTGTGAGCCACCATGTGGTTGCTGGGAATTGAACTCGGGACCTCTGGAAGAGCAGCCAGTGCTCTTAACTGCTGAGCCTTCTCTCCAGCTCCCTTCATAGTCTTAAAATCAAGTCCTTGTTTGTTTTAAAAGCATTTTAGGCTAGGAGATGGCTCAGCAGATAAAAGCACTTGCTGAGCAAGTATGAGGGCCAGAGTTTAGATCCTCAGCACCGATATAAATGCCAGGTGTGTGTGTGTGTGTGTGTGTGTGTGTGTGTGTGTGTGTGTGTGTGTGGCTTGTCTATAATCCCAGCATTGGGATGGCAGAGAAAGGATCCTTGGAGCAAGCTGGCAAGCTGGACTAGACTGGATTCAAGTGAGCAGCCTTACGTTAATATATAAAGTGGAGGGGGATAAAGGAAGACAAGCAATGTCAGCCTCTGGACTCCGTGTGCACACAGACACAGACATAGACACACAGGCATAAACACACAGACACACAGGCACACTAATATACATATACATATGCATGCAACACACACATTTTAGGTGACTGCTAGAAACTTTCAATTACAAATATGGGTTCACGTTCTGGACCATAATTTTACCTCCATTTCATAAGTCCTGGTGTGTGGCTAGCACTCCCACCCCTCTCAATACCCCAGCTAAATGTTTTATCTAGATCTACGGGAGGCTGCAAGCCAGGGTACTCACTCTATTTTTTGCGAAGGAAGTGGTTGGTGTTGACTGATGGGGCCGATGGTGGTGGTGGGGAGGATTCTGGGTAAATTCTTTCCAAGGCTGTGGAGTCTTTCCCTACTGTGTTAAGAGCTGTTGTGTTTAGGGCACCTGTTTTCCTTGCGTGACTGGGTGTTTCCTCATGCCCTCCTACACCAGTTTCAGTTGGAGCGGACAGAAGAAGGCTGGGGGTGGAGGAGTAAGGAAAGGAAGGAGGCGAAGAAATGTTTCAAGGGATCACAGGACATTGGGAGGGAAGAAAACAGGAAACCGAAGCAAAGGTGCTATCTGTCTCTTAGATTGTGTGTGGAACACGGGAAGAGGAGATGTCCTCAATGCTTAGCGTGCGTGAGGTCCTGGCTTCATTCTCCAGCACCTAAAAGAAGAGTAAAGTGAACCTAAACATAAAATGATATTAACAGGTTAAACCTCCAAGGAAGACGCCCTTGAAACCCTCTCTGCACAGGGTTCTAGTCACTGGGGCTTTCCTCACGCTCCACTTTGTAAGTTCTCATTTTGTAGTTCCAGAACCCCAAGGGTGGTTCCCCAGATTTTCCAGGTGTTTCATTGCTGTGGTAATGAAACCCAGTCAATACCGACCAAGACCAAGACATCAGTTCAGGCATTATGGGGTGCATTTGCTCTGCCTTATCTGTAGTGTGGCATGCTCTTCCAAACCTAGCTCTCTAGGGAGTTTCATGACTTCCTGCTGAGTTGGCCCAGCTAGGTGCTGAGAGACCACGGGCGAGGCGGATGGAGGGGGCTGTACTCTGGAGCCAGGCTCTGGCCACGATGCTTGAGTTCTCTGGGCCTCAGGAGCGGTCACCTGTAGAATGGAATCATACTGGCCACCTGCTGCCTCCTGGTTTTGTGATGTGTTTCAAATGAGTGAGTAAATGAATGAAAGTGGACCTGAGTAGGGTTTCTGAAATCCCTAAAATGGGGAGGACCAGAGAGGTTATGGGTGCCTTTAATTTAAGGCCTTAATTTAATTAATGCCTTTAATTTAATAGCACACATGAAACTGGGGCAGATGGATATCCAATTAGAGGCCAGCCTGGGCTACATCGCTAATTCAAGACAGTCTGGGCTATATGATGGGGCTTTGTCTTAAAATCAAGGGCTGGGGATGTAGATGGATGTAGCTTCACGCATAAGGGTTTAATTCCCAGAGCTACCTTTTCCTCTTTCATGCTCTCTGATGGTTTTTGCCGCAGGAGCCTTTCTACCCCCCATGACCTCACCTGTGGGGCTCTTTTCCAGCTGGGGCTCCTCATGCAGCCTGCCTGCTGTTCTCAGAGCCATTGCCAGGGTAACCATCCACACTGTGGGAAAAAAGCTACAGGCTGTGGACGGTTGTCCTGGGGGATGCTAGCAATTACTCACCCAAGCACGCCCTGCAGCCAGCCTGTGAGCCATCCTCTCCGGGAGGGATCAAAGACAGCTTCGGTGATTCACGGAGTGGGGCTGCCAAGCTGTTCTGCCTTGTCTTTTAGGTCTTGACCCTGCGGGCCCTTTGTTCAATGGGAGACCTGCTGAGGACAGATTAGATCCCAGCGATGCACAGTTCATCGACGTCATCCACTCCGACACAGACGGTAACACTCCTTTGTGGATTCCTGACCCCAAGAGCACAGTCTCCTCCTCCCATTCCCTGATGCTATCTTTTCCTCCATGTGGGTAGGGGGGTCCAGCACCACTGGCGGGGGATCTAGGCCCAGGACCTGACGATGAAGCAGACATGATTTCCCTTTCTCTCACCCGGTTTTCCAAAGTGATCAAGTCCAATTAAAGCCAGGTTGGTCTGTCTATACACAGACAGTTGGCTTCAGATGAACAGTTTCCAGGGTGGCCTGACTTTTCTCTTATTCTCCTGTGCTGAGAGTGCTGTGTCTCCCCACCCAGAGCACCTCTGCCCTACTCCTGACTCTTTGTAGATCTTCCAGATCATTTCTGCCTCTCAACATGCCGGTTTCTTATCTGCTATTTGGTGTATGAGATGCCCAGCTGACACCTGGAGTCTCAAAATATGAAAACTATTATCACAATTACTGCAATAGGCTGCACATAACACATGCATGCACATATGTATATATAAACATTTATTTCTTTTCTGAGACTCTGGCTATGTATCCCAGGTTGGCTGCCACTGTGCAGCCGAGGCTGGTTATAAACTGTCAACCTTTTTGTCTCAGCCTCCAGGTTGCTGGATTATAAGCATGGACCATCACACCTGGTTCCATGTTAACCCTTTTTGTTTGAGTTTGTTTTTTGAGACAGGGTTTCTCTGTGTAACAGCCCGGCTGTCCTGGAACTCCCTTTGTAGACCAAGCTTGCTTCGAACTCACAGAGATCTGCTTATCTCTGCCTCCCGAAGGCTGGGATTACAGGCATGTGCCACCACCCCCCAGCTCCTATGTTAACCAACATTTTCTAATTATTTTTGGGGTTTGTATGGCTAGAGAAAATGAAGTTGTTACATTTCTAGGTACCCATTTTTAAAAGTGTTTCCAGTCCTTTTTATTGTGTTAGATCCCAGTGTGTTTGTTTGAAGCAGGGTCTCACTCTTTAGCCCAAGCTGGCTTCAAGCTCATAGCAATCCCCCTGCCTAAGCCTCCTAAGTGCAGGTATTACAAGTGTGAGCCACCACACCTGGCTTAGGGCCAACATTTTTATTTTTGTTCTTTTATTTTTATTTGTATTGGTGTCTTGATTGCATGTGTATCTGTGTACCACGTGTGTGCCTGATGCCCAAAGAGGCCAGAAGAAGGTATTGGATCCCCTGAGACTGGAGTTACAGTTACAACCACTGGAGGTAGTTTGGAGCCACCATGTGGGTGCTGGGAACCTAGCCCAGCTCCTCTGTATGAGCAGCCAGTGCTCTTAACCACTGAGCCATCTCTAGATCAGGTCCAAAAATTTTAAGACTTTATCTACTAAGTAAAAATGAATTGTTTCCTATTTCATTTTGTGAAGATTTATACAATATAAATAGAAGTTTAGGAATCTCATGACAATTAGAGGGCTCTGACTAAAAGTAAAGAAGAAACCCTAGGCCATCCTGTCAGCCCTACAGGGCCAAGTGCCCAGAGTCCAGATGGGATTCCATTCCATCACCCTTTGTGTGCTCAGCTGATGCAATCTGCTTGCTGCTTTCTAACGCACTAGCTCACAGCTTTGGGCAAGACCTTTAAGTAGGTATAAGGGCCGTGATGGCAACCACAACACCACCGCCCCTGCCTAACCCTGCAGGCAGGTGGACGTCATGATGTGCACGGTCCCCATGTAAGCCTTGTGTGTTCTCTTTTAGCACTTGGCTACAAGGAACCGCTAGGACACATAGACTTCTACCCGAATGGAGGACTGGATCAACCAGGCTGCCCAAAGACAATATTTGGAGGTAAGTGTCATACGTTATCCTTTGTAAGACAGTAGTTTGGAAAGGCATATTAAAATATCTGATACTAGCAGGTGTGATGATACATACCTGTAACACCAGCAGTGGGGAGGTGGAGGCAGGAGGATCCGGAGTTCAAGCACAGCCATGAGGTCCTGTCTCACAAACAAAACAAAAATCAACCATAAATTACCTGCTATCAATGGGCATTGTGAATAGAAAACAGACGGCCTGAAAAAAACAGAGGTGGCAGAACTATATATCACAAAACACAAATAGGAAGTTGGAGGGCAGCCTAAAGGTGAGATGAGGGGCAGAGTCAGAATCGGGTCCTCCCTAAGTGCTCTTATTCCTCACTGCTGCTAGAGAAAGGAAAGTCGTCTTGAAAAGCTTCTAGAACAAGGATGCTCTGGAGGTTTGGGAGCTGCCTCAGGGGGTAAGCATGCTCACTGCCCAAGCACAATGGCCTGAGCTCAGATGCCACTACCCACACGAAAGGCTGTGGGAGCCCGAGGCAGGAGGACCACTGAGGTTTTCCGGATGCCCGCCTAGGGCCATATTCGGCAAGAGACCCTGTGTCCTCAAAGGAATAGGTGAGGAATGACAGAGCAGGACCCCCGCTGTCCGCCTCTGACCCCCAGGAGCCTGCACGCATTGGAATATGCACACCTCCATGTGCATATACACTAACATACCACATTCACACAGTTGAAAAAAGCTAAAGATGGTTTGTACAAAATGACGTCCGTATAGGGCCACATTGGAATAGCAAAGTGTTTGAAAATGATCCAGCTGACATGACTTAAGTGGGCTTAACCATATGACTGAGCATCCAAATTCTGTCCTGTGCGACAGAGTGATGACATGTATCCCCTGCATTGTCACTGACACCACGGTATCTGCTAGAGGAAGTCCTAAGGAGCAGGAAGGCATACTGGCCTGTTGGGTTTTACCTCAGTCGGGTTTGGCCCAGATGCCTCATGCCCTCTTGGTCCCAGTTTGCCCTTCACTATCTCCTGTGTGGGCTGAACTGAGCGCCAGAAACAGGAACACTGATGTCGTAGCGGCACTCTATGGCCCACCCTGAGAGCCAACACAACCATGGGCCCTGTTTCCTGTTTTGTTTTGTTTTGTTGTTTTGTTTTCCTAGACAGGTTTCTCTGTATAGCCTTGGCTGTCCTGGAACTCACTCTATAGACCAGGCTGGCCTTGAACTCACAGAGATCTGCCTGTCTCTGCCTCCCAAGTGCTGGGATTAAAGGCGTGCACCACCACCACCCAGTTGAGGCTCAATTCTTTTTGGAACTACACCAGCAGCTCCAGGTCTTTTGATTTCCATCTCTGTGCATCATTAGCCTCCAGCTGCACCATAACACCTCATGCGTGACATCCACTGAGAAAGAGTCCTGCCTCTGACCATTCTTGCTTAGACTCTCCCTGCCATCACCTGCCATTCGGTCCTTCTCAGTTCACTCTGGTGGCAGGAACAGAACCCAGCCACCAGGAGGCTAGTATGAATGCCCCTTGGATCCATCGAACCTTAGATTCCTGCCATGGTGGTCTCACTGCTGTCCGGAAGCATTGTTGGAGATGTCCTGAGACCTATTGAACTAAGTCCAGGAAAGCTTCATAGCTTCTTGCTGGTCCTCACTGCCAGAAACTCCTCTAGGGTCACTCCTCCTAGATCTACACAACATCTCCCTACTTATGTTACAGATGAGCTAGTCTTAACTTCCACACACTCCTGTCTCAGTCACTGTTCTGTTGCTGAGAAGAGACACCATGATCAAGGCAAGTCTTATAAAAGAAAGCATTACTATCACAACCCACAAAGAACCAGCTTCCAGGGTACAGAAGGAAAGTCCACAGTGTAGCGCAAACTGAGACTTTTTCATCTGAGGGGGTTAGGGAGAAATAATCTCATGCACTCTCTCTTGATGGTTTCATTTCTTTATTCTCTGATCTTGTTCATGTCTCGTCATGTTGTTCTGTCTCGTTGCTCCATTGTTCCCTTTCTCTCCACTGCTTAAAAACTCTAACAAGCCGGGCGGTGGTGGCGCACGCCTTTAATCCCAGCACTCGGGAGGCAGAGCCAGGTGGATCTCTGTGAGTTCGAGGCCAGCCTGGGCTACCAAGTGAGTTCCAGGAAAGGCGCAAAGCTACACAGAGAAACCCTGTCTCGAAAAACCAAAAAAAAAAAAAAAAAAAAAAAAAAAAACTCTAACAAAATCTCTAAGACAGCTAGGTACAGTATATCTTGTAATATCCACTCAGCCAGGCACTTTCCATGAAATTAATGACCAAAATGCTTAAAACTTAGAGTGTATTCTCTGTCCTGTGTATAACTTCTAATTATCCAAGAATACCTGCAGCCCTCACAGGGGCTACAGAGTCAGATTGTTTTCTGTAGCCTTGACTAGTCAGAATTTATTTTCTCAAATTGAGGTCAGGAATGGGTGCAAGGACTTAATCATTTGCCAGCTAGCAATAATTGTGCTGTCTTTGTATTTATAACCTAGCCAGATAGTGCAGCTGTGTGTCCTTGTGAATTAAAAATTGGAAACATTTATCCAAAAACCCATTAGCAAGGCATCTGGTCTAATCTAAAGCTCTTTTGAAGCTTTGTTTCACCTAATGATGTACAAGAAACCTGTGACTTCATAACTCAGCATAAAGATTAAAGGAATTTGAGCACAGCCTGGCTCCTGGACTCAAATGTTTTCCTAAATCATAAACCAGAGCTGTGAGCTAAAGCAGGTTCGAAGTGTCTCACAGGCCTTGTGGAACAATAGGCCTTAGTTAGGAAACATATCCTAGAATTATTTTTATTCATCAAAACTCTGTGTCAATAGACAATACAGTTTAAGGAGGACTTATCTTCTTGGCAATACACAGAAATAGATGCCCAGAAGATCGGCATGTTTTTATGAGACAAACATACTACAATGCAGGTAGTGGGGGACTCCCTATATACATATACATTTTATCAGATACTAAAGGTACAGCAGAAGCAAAGGACATTCTGGAGTCTGTATTCTCATAAGCCTTGCTTAAGCGAGACATACCCATCAGAGTGTTTCTTCTGGTGGGCTGACACCTGACCCTCAATTGTCACCTGTGGTTGCTCTGACAGGGCCACAGCCACTGGCACATTTCACTGGGGGCTTACCTGCAGTTTCAGAGGCATAGTCCATTATCTTCATGGCAGGGAGCATAACAGCAGCTAGGCATGGTGCTGGAGAAGTGGCTGAGAGCTATATCCTGATCCATAGTCAGAGAGAGAGAGAGAGAGAGAGAGAGAGAGAGAGAGAGAGAGAGAGAGAGAGAGACTCTGGCTTGGCATGGGCTTTTGAAACCTATTTTCCTGAGGGCCTTCTTTCTTCCTTTTTTACTTTTTCGGTGTGTGGATTTGCAGGCCAGAGATCCTCATCAGGTGTCATTCTCAGGAGCCATCCATGTTGTTTCTTGAGACAGGGTCTAGGAGCTGATTGCCTTGTTTTGTTTTAATTAAATTTATTTATTTATTTTACATCCCAACTGCAGATTTCCCTCCCTCCTCTCCTCCCATCCCCTCCTCCACTCCCCCTCCAATCCACTCCTCCTCTGTTTCTGTTCAGAAAGGGGCAGGTCTCCCATGGGTATCAACAAAGCATGGCATATCCAGGTGCAGTAAGACTAAGCACCTCCCCTTGTATTTAGGCTGAGCCAGGCAATCCATCCAGTATGAAGAATAGGTTCCCAAGAGCCAAAACATTAGGGACAGCCCCTACTCCCACTATTAAGAGTACCACAAATAGACCAAGCTACACAGCTGTCACACATATGTAGAGGGCCTAGGTCAGACCCATGCAGGTTCCTTGGTTGTTGATTCAGTCTCTGTGAGCTCTTATGAGCCCAGGTTAGTTGTTTCTGTGGGTTCTCTTGTGATGTCCTTGACCTCTCTGACTCCTACAATCCTTCAGCAGGATTCCCTGAGCTCGGCCTAATGTTTGGCTATGGGTCTCTGCGTCTGTTTCTATCAGTTACTGGATGAAGGCTCTCTGATGACAACTGGGGAGTCATCAAATTTATAAGTATAACAGAATATTATTAGGCATCATTACATTGACATTTCCCCCGCTCCAGTTGTGTTTGGTTCTATCCAGCCTCTGGGTCCTGGAGCTCCAGGAAGTGTCAGGGGTGGACTGACCCTCATGGCATGAGTCTCAGGCTGGACCAGTCATTGGTTGACAACTCCCACGATTTCTGTGCCACCCTTACCCCGGCACATCCCATAGATAGGACAGACTGTAGGTTGAAGGTTATGTGGCCGGGTTGGTGTCCCAATCCCTCCACTAGAAATCTTGCCTGGTCACAGGAGATAGCCAGTTCAGGCTTCATAGTCCCTGTTGCTAGGAGTCTTAACTGAGGTCATCCTTGTAAATTCCTGGGAGTTTCCCTTGTACCAGGTTTCTATCTGACCCTGAAATGTTCCCCCTTTCCAGTCATCTCTTTCAGTATTTTCCTCCTCCATCAACTCCTCCCAACCCAATCGCTCATGTTCCCATCCCCACCCACCAGCCCCTAGACCACCCACAAGCTCTCTTCTATTTCCCTTTCTTAGGGAGACCCATGTGTCCCCCCTTGGGCCCTCCTTGTTACCTAGCCTCTCTGGGTCTGTTTACCTTGTTTTTCTAATTATTTATTGTCATTGCTCTCTCTCTCTCTCTCTCTCTCTCTCTCTCTCTCTCTCTCTCTCTCTCTCTCCCCCCCCCCCCCCCCGGTGGTGTGTGTGTGTGTGTGTGTGTGTGTGTGTGTGTGTGTGTGTGTGTACACATTTGGTGTGCACGTGGAAGTCAGAGGACAACTTTGCAGAGTCGACTCTCCGCCCCCTTGTTTGAGATAATTCCTTGCTCTCTCGTTTCTGCTGCACGTGTGTATTCTGGGCTAGCTGGCCTGTGAGTTCCTAGGTAATCCTCCTGTCTCCAACTTCATCTTGCAGTGTGCCACTGCATCATCTTTTT